TTTCCTGCCTGTGGTAAGGGTTTGAACCAGCAGCAATTCTAGCCCCAGAGGGTGGTGGCCGGTGGTGGAGTGTAGGGGGGGGTCTGTGGGGGGATCTGCAGGGTCACTGGTGATGCCTGTGATAAGGGACTCCTGGGCCTCAGTGCCCCAGGGGATGGAGAAACTGCAGTTAGGACAAAGGTTGCAGCACTCCTGAGGGAGAACTGTGAAAACCTTCTGTAGACTCTGACTCCCTGACATCGGGAGGCTGGGAGAGGGGGAACATTTTAGAAGCCTGACTTTGCGTTTGAAAACCTCTGCACTCTATTACTAAAGCGGTTTCACTCCAGGGCTGGCTTTAGGTAAAATGTCTAAGTGGTCATCCAATATCTGGTCTCAATCACTGAAAATATCATCCAGGAAGACCCAATGTCTTTTAATGTACAGATTAAAAGTCTTAAAAATGCAAAAATGCAAACATTTGAGAGAATTAAATAAAAAGCAATGCCTGGAAAGAGTGGTGGTAGGCTGTCCTTAACCTATAGACAGCAGGGTCAGGCCAAACCTTAGGAGTGTCAGCACTCTGAACAGAAATGTGAGCCTTAGAGCCTGGTGGCTGGGACTGGAGGACGTTCAGCCAGCAGCTAGTGCATGGTGGGAACCAAGAGTCCAGTAGCACATTATTTGTGAAGATACAAACCTAGAGATGTCTATCTGAAGTTCATGGAACCCCAGAATCTGGGCAGAAACTCAATAAGTGGGAAGTGAGTCATAAGTTCAAGGAGAAATCCAGCAAAAGTTGACTCCATGCAGTCCTCATCTATGGAATGAGGGTGCCCTAAATTCTAGCCAATGGTAAGACTGAGAGCCCACCTTGGTGACACAGGGTAGTCAGCTGTTGAGAACTCACCTGGGAGAAGCTGGGGGCCCTGGACACAGGGAGTCAGGGGAGCAGACAAGGGAGGGTGCTGTGAAATGCATACAGAGAAACCTCTAAAGACGGTAGTGGGAGTAATACACCCCTATGTTAGTGGATGGCTCATAGGCGATATGCAAAACAGAGAAAGTGTCACGGAACAGAAGGTTTTCTTAAAAAACCAACCAACAAACAAAAAACACCACTCAGAAAAATACTTTGGTATTTCTATCCATTTTTTTAATTTTATTTTTCATAGTTGAGCTGGTCTCCAAATACATAATACAGTTTTATGTTCTTTCTGCCTAATATGATGGTGTAGATTCCCACAAACCATTAAAAGGTCTTCATTGGGCTGATTTTTAAAATGTTTTTTTCTCTAGGTTACTTTATAGTAAGAATACAGTATATAATCCATATAACATACAAAATATGTGCTAATCAACTGTGTATGATATCAGTAAGGCTTCTGGTCAACAGTAGGCTATTAGGAATTACGTTTTTGTGGAATTAAAAGTTATATGCAGATTTTTGACTGCAGAGGGCTTAGGGTGCCCCTAACTCTCACACTGTTCAAGGGTCGACTCTCCTTGCAGAAATCTAGGCTGATTATTATTTATTTATTTATTTGAGAGAGAGAGAGAGAGAGAGCGCGAGCACAAGCAGGGGGAGTGGCAGGCAGAGGGAGAAGCAGATTCCCTGCTGAGCAGGGAGCCCGATGCGGGGCTTGATCCCAGGACCCTGAGATCATGAGCTAAGCCTAAGGCAGACGCTCAACAGACTGAGCCACACAGGTGCCCCTGGGCTGATTTTTAATGACTGTTAAATAACTCATGCAAAGAAAGAGCAACCATTTAAAACCAGCCTTCTAGAACTTATGGCTTCTGAAAAAGCTCCAGACACGGAAGCATCAGGGGCAAGCCTCTGAACCACAAATAGTAACAGTAATAACAATAGTCATGAAATCCCCTGAGCACTTAGAGGTAAATAAATATTTGAGAAGAGTCAAAAAAAGACCCCAAATTATACCTTTACATTGTGATTTTTATCTTTCATTAAACCAAGTGGAAGGTGCGCACTGATAGATCCCATTTCCATCGTCAAGCCTCAGGGAAGGAACGCGGAGAACAAGAATGTCAAATAGCCCACTTTTGCGTTTCAACCACCAAGGTCCCAGGCTTAAATAAAATTTTAATTTGATGATAATGTAGCGAAACCAAATTGCAGAGCAGAAACTGAACTTTGTGCTTTTAGCTTCCATTCCTCTAAGGCTGGAAACTTGGCCCTTGAAACTCAAAAGCTAATTATTTAATATTTTCCTCCTTTGCCTACTGTAGCATTATCCCTTCCCTGAGACATAAAGATGAGAAGCGCTGAGTGCAAGAGACAAGGAGACAAATGAAAGACAATGAGAGACAATGCCCCTCCGCCGCCTCCCCTGATAACCACCAAATATCTCACCAGAGAAATAATTATTGCCCTGGTGATGACCAATATATACCTTTTGGCCAGTTTCAAGGTTCAGCTTATGTGCTGTGGTAGACATGATCAGGTTCTCGTGGGCTTGACAAGCAGGAAGGGATGACGGCAGAAGTATGTGCATGAGGAAGAATTTGCTTGTATGGCAAATTCTTCAGGCTTTGAAGGTTGGCATGGCCACTCTCCAGTCTGATAGTATAAAAGGTCATTGTTTGGGGCTCCTTTTGATGACTGTAAAATTTAATTTCCCTGGAGTTATAGGATACTGATGGAGTACAACTGAGTCTGAGGATGTACATTCTGTATTTTCAATAAATATAATTTTAGAACTCAGATATATTTGATCATATCAAATCTATACTGTTGCTAATGAACTGTAATTATTATTTCTAATAAAGAAATAGCACAAAAGTTTGTTCTTAATGAAATTCTTCACAGTTACTATATCGTGGTAACTAAAGTTTGGATTGTATTGTTTGAGGTCTGGTGTTATTTAACTAAACTATGGTAAATAAGATTTCTGCCTTTCAGGGAAGCCTGGCTGGCTTAGTGGGTAGAGCATGTGACTCTTGATCTTGGGGTTGTGAGTTGGAGCCCCATGTTGGGGGTAGAGGTTACTTAAAAAAAATAATAGAATTTCTGCCTCTTAGAACCATGCAAATGATGACTGCCTATTTGGTGGCAGATTGTATTTTCCAAAGGTAGTGCAACAATTTCTTCTATCTTACCCGTTCTTCTCAAACCTTGCTATTTTCACATCAAGAGGTGGGGCCTATTTCCCTCTCCTCCAGTCTGGGCAGTTTTGTGACTCTCTGGCAACCAATAAAATGCAGCAAAAGTAACTATGATTTCTCAAGCTGACTCAAAAGACAATGCATCTTAACACTGGAACACTTCCACCAAAGCTAGAAGCTACCACGTAAGTTCTCCAATTGCCTGGAGACCATCATGCTGGGGAAGAAGTCCAAACAAACCCATGTGGAGAAATCAACTGGAGGAGATATATGAAATGACTGACCCAGTATTATATTATTGGACTGTTAGGTTGTTTCCAATCTTTTGATGTAAGTAATTCCATGAGAAATATCTTTGAATACAGGCCATTTTTCATGAGTGCAACTATGTGCCAGTTAAATTCCAAAAAACAGAGGAAGCACAAATTCTTGAAATTGGAAGGATATTTCCTTTTTTCACATTCCGCCAATAAAGCTGATCATCAAGGAAGTACTTGGTGGTCCATTTTGTTAGCAAAGTTATAAACATTATCTGTGCTAATAAGGCAAAAGACATTGATAGCACAGTGAAGGAGATAAATTTCATTGGAATGAGGAAATCCTGTAGGCAAGGTCATGTATTCTCTGATTTAAATGTATATTTTGTAGAAAGATGATCATATTCCTCTGACCAAGAAATCGGAGAGTTATATATTCTTTAATCTACAATCTTAAAAATACAGAAAATGAACAAAGATCAGGTAGACAATGGGGAAGTTTTTCAAAAGACCAAGTTTTAGGGGTCAATTCTGGGGTCAGTACCATTTGTCTTTATGTTATACAGCAGTTTTGTCAATATTTGCCCAAAGATGTTCAGCTCAAAAAACGAAACAAAACAAAAACCCATACCTGTATTGCTCACAATGAGAACCTCATGCCAATAAGAAAAGCTGGTTTCATTAGTATAATTTATTTAAGAACACATGGAAGTTTATTTGATACTTAAATCATAAAAAAGGACACCAACACAAAACTATCTGGCCTGAAAGAGTTAATCCTCAGCCATCCAAGAAGTAGCTCTCCAGAATGACTCACTTCTGTACCTTGCGGATTTCAAATTCTTAACTTTATCTTGATGCGAGGCTAATTGAAATTTGTACAATATTTCCTTTTCAAGACAGCTACACTTGTACATATCTTAGGTCTGTGGTGGCTAGTTTCAGCTGTCTCAATAGACTTGATAAGGCAGTATTTTGGTTAATATGTAGTGAAGTTCTTAAAGTACTCTAACAAACTTCCTCATCTTTAACTCACCCTCAGAGTATTTGTTTATTAATTTCAGCTTTGTTTGCTTTTTAATTCTGAAATATGTATTGGGTTTCAAAGGGTTCTGTTTTTCCCCTCTGCAGTGTCGTTTGACTCTGTTTTTCTGATAGTTCTTCATTATAATGGTGTCAGTTTGCTCAGGCAGAGATGGTAAAAAACCCAGTTTCCTGCAGAGCTGAACCAAGCTCAGAGAAGTGAAACGGTGGATGATCCGAAGTGCTCCAGTTTCAGACGGTGCAAGTGACACACGCTCGCTGAAATGCAACTTGCATTTTCTACGTTGTTCACTTCCCATGCGAAGCGCGCTGCTAGGATCTAACCTTTACACAGGGGGTGACTTTCTTTGAGAGTAAAAGGAAACTAAATTATGAAATAGCTCTTACGTGACTATTACACGCTATCTAGGATTCAAAGCTCTCGAGTAAATGGTCTAAATATTATTTTAAAAGGCAAAGATATTCTCACATGTCAAAAAAACCTCCCCCAAACTCCACCAGCCACTCTTTCAACGGAAACCTAAAGAACTGATATAGTGGGATGGAGAAAATGAAAAGAACAGTCATCTAAAAATCGCCATTGGTGAAGTGATGAAGAACATTTGCTGGCTTATTCTGAAACTTGTCAATGTTGCGACTCTTGGCCACATATGGATTTCTGTGGTACAGTGTACGGTTTTACACAGCTGCCTGAAGTCATGTGTAACTAACCTGGTAAGTTTTGCTGCTCTAATATTTGTCTTTGCAGGAACTGGAATGTGTAGAATTCAGCTTGTTATAAACGAGTGAATGATTTTCTCATGAGAAGTGGTAGCAAGGCAAGAAAGATTTTTTTTCCCCCAAAATAAGTTAGGAATGTTTTTAATTACAGAAGGTAGGGGAAGGCTGTTTTATTTCTTTAAGTTATCTGTTCATAGATTGTGTGTGTGTGTGTGTTTGTGTGTGTGTGTGTGCGCGTGAGGGGGTGTAGGAATTGGGTTAAAGAGGCTTACATGCAATAAATTTTGCATGCTTTAAAAATGCCAATTTAAACTCATTTATCTCAAAACCATTTATGTTTGTCTTGAAGCAAGAAATAGGTTTGGCCACATGGCAATGCCTACTGGTTGCAGACCGCAGCAGCATTTATATTGTGGATGGATGGTTGTATCAGGAGGTGGATGCCAAGGAAGCAGATGCAGATGCCATATAGAACAATGTTTTATTTGAAAAGCAAGAATTGTTTTTAAGTTCCTTTCCTTCTACCTGTGCATTTGTAGTTTTTTCAGTAATGGGTTTTTTGGGTATCCTTTCCCTATAAATTGTTTCATATCTTTCAGTTACTGTGACATTGTTGTGCTTCAAAAAGCCCCTGAATCAACTGTAAAAACCAAATACATTCTAGTCAGGGAAAGAAGCACTCTTCTTATCTAGATACAAAGGACATAGCCTGATAGTTTACATGTTAGGCTACTTATAGTCCTACTTTTTAGAATAATAAAAGTACCCAATACAGTACTCATTGTTATGCTAAAGTATTGGAGGCAGATGTCCGTGCGGCGGTTAAAAAAGATAATTATCTGTGTTACATGCCTCTGGCTTAATTTAAACTATAGATTAAAACACTACTTAAGCTTTCTATGGGTAGTAGCACTTTTTAAAAAAGTTTGGCATTTTATATAAATCACTGTTGAAGACCTCATTGCCATTAATGTGGAATTGTATGCCTTAGGATTTTACAGTCGTCATCCAAACTTAAACATGGAAAAATAAGACTATTAGATGTATTCGTTATTGAATAATTTAAAAATTTCCACTGATTATAATAAGAACATATATTCACTGTAAAATATTTAAAAGGTAGAGAAGTAGCGAAGGATAAAGAAAAAAGCATTTTCTCTTCAAATATGTATATAATTTTACATACAGTTGTATACCCGTCTTTTTCACTTAACATGACGTTGTTTTTCCTATACCCTGACATTTTTATAGAAACAGGATCTTCAGTCTATTTAGAATATTTCCATCCTATAAATGTACCACCATAATTTGTTAATTTCCCCTTACTGTCAAAACTGATACAGTTTGTTTCCATTACTGTAGTCTCCATTTTATTTATTTTTTATTTTGTTTTGGTTTTTAGTTACGTTTAGTTTCGTCTTATCTTTGTGTGGGCTCCTGGGTTTCAGGCAGTAGGAGTAGACAGCTTGTTCCTTCCGCTTACCACCCACAGACACAGGCTCAGCCCATGTGGTGGCCACTGGGAGAGACAGGGTCTGCCAGTTTGCCTAGTGCCTGTCATCAATGTTCTCCATCTGGGCCTCCCACACAGGGCCTGGAGGGAAAAAGCTAGGTGAATGAACAGTGAATATAGCCGTGGATCAGGGGAAAGGATATGTAAAATGCTTGAGTTTATGATACTGTTTGCATTTTTTGTGTGTGCCATTCTTTGTAGCCTGGACACTTGCTGCAAAGGTCATCTTTGATTTCCCTGGGTGGTTCTTGATCCTGAGGCATATTTGCTTTTTTAAAAAGAAACACAGAGTCTTATACAAAGGAATGTTTAGAATTGCTGTCCAAATGTGCACAGATCATAGTTCTGTGCTGAGCATGCGTAGTTTACGTCCATTGACAGATCTGTAGGTATTAGTTGAATGTAGTAATTGACTTAATATTTTTGAGTTACATGTGCCTGTGCTGCAGAGAACAAAAAATAATCAGTGTTCTTCAGAACACTAGTATTATGGCATCCTTCATGAAAGAGAAACAAAAGAGACCGAGGAAATAGCATTGAGAAATTCTCTTTTAGAAGTATCAATTCAAGGGCGCCTGGGTGGCTCAATCGTTAAGCGTCTGCCTTCGGCTCAGGTCATGGTCCCAGGGTCCTGGGATCGAGCCCCCCATTGGGCTCCCTGCTCAGCAGGAAGCCTGCTTCTCCCTCTCCCACTCCTGCTGCTTGTGTTCCTGCTCTATCTCTGTCAAATAAATAAATAAAATCTTTTTTTAAAAAAAAGAAGTATCAATTCAATGCAAGACTATTAGAAACAAGAGTTCAGAGGTTATCCTGTTAAAAAAGGTACAAACAGGGATACCTTTCTTGTGTATCCATATGTAACTTAATAGCAAGATGATAGAACAAAACCAGAATCCAAAAATGCCATAAAATATCCAGGAATGAGCACAGTTTGTATTGGTGTAGGAGTGGGCAGATCAGTAAAATGGAATACAGTCTGGGAGTTAAGCCATGCACACAAGGGAGTGTGGAGTATGATAAAGATGGCAGTTCAAACCAAAGTGGGGCTGTTCATTTAGAATACAAAATAACACCTTCCTTCTGTAGGTGAATGGGTAAGTAAACTGTGGCACATCCAGACAACGAAATATTATTCAGAGCTGAAAAGAAATGCGCTTTCAAGCCATGAAAAGACATGGAGTGAACTTTAAAGGCATACACTAAGTGAAAGAAACCAATCTGAAAAGACTACATACTGGATGATTCCAACCATATGACATTTTAGGAAAGGCAAAACTATGGAGACGATGAAAAGATCAGTGGTTGCCAGGAGTGGATTTGTATGTGGTGGGGAGATGAATAGGGAGATCACAGAGGATTGTTAGAAACGGCAAAAATACTCTATATGATATTGTGATGGATACATGTCACTATACCTTTGTCCAAACCCACAGAATATACAACTCCGAGAGTCAGCCTTAAGGTAAACTATGGACTTTGGGGGATTATTATTGTGTAGATTTATCCTTGGTAAAAACTACTATTCTGCTGAGTGATGTGGATAATGAGAGAGGCATGTGTGGGGGCCGGAGGTATTTGGGAAATCTCTGTACCTTAATCTCAATTACACTGTAAATCTAAAACTGCTCTAAGAAAATGAAGTCTTTTTTTAAAAGATTTTATTTATTTATTTGAGAGAGAGAGAGCGCGAAGGGGGAGGGGCAAAGGGAGAGAGAGAGAAGCAGACTCCCTGCTGAGTGTAGAGCCCAGTGCAGAGCTCAATCTCAGGACCCTGAGATCATGACCTGAACCAAAACTAAGAATTGAGTGCTTAACCGACTGAGCCACCCAGGTGCCCCCAAAATAAAGTCTTTTAAAAAAGTTTAGGCAAATTTTTTAAAACCTAACTCCTTACAATACTACCAGATTCACATAGATTCCAGGAGTTATTAAAAAATACTGTGATTTAAATACAAACAAAATAACAGAAACAAAACAAGACTTCACCCTATAGATATATTACAATAAATTAAGGGTGAATATTTCTATAGTCTTGGAGTGGCAATGCCTTAAGAGGCCTGCTTCAAAAATACAGAATCCCTACAAGAAATTATTCATAATTTAACTACTTAGAAGCTTAAAACTATTTGGCAATAAACAGAATACAAGAAAAACAAAGCCAAAAAATGGAAAAAGTATTACATTTGATGAACAGAATTTTACCAATCCTTATATATAAAAAAGTATTTAAAATAAGTTTAGGGACACCTCAGTGGCTCAGTCAGTTAATCCTCCAGAACTTTATGCACTTTATTTTTTTTTTTTAAAGATTTTATTTATTTATTTGAGAGAGAGAATGAGAGAGAGAGAGAGAGCATGAGAGGGGGAGGGTCAGAGGGAGAAGCAGACTCCCTGCCGAGCAGGGAGTCCGATGCGGGACTCGATCCCGGGACTCCAGGATCATGACCTGAGCCGAAGGCAGTCGCTTAACCAACTGAGCCACCCAGGCGCCCCTTTATGCACTTTATGCAACACTGGTTCTTTGGTTCCTGTGTCTGATTACTTAAGTGAACCCCCACAATGCCAGGCCATTGGATGAGGCTTTCAATAAACAGGACTTCTGTAGCATTCCTATGTAATAGAACATCTTGAGTTCATGGGTTTCTTCCTTCTGTATGTATTTATTGAAGACGTCTTATCCCTCCAGACTGTTTTAGGTACTAAGGATAGAGTGAAGGGCAAAAGGAATGGTGCTTACCTGGAAGGGGAGAGAACTCAGTGAACTTAGTGATAAACAGATCTTCTCTTCCCTCTGAAAAGTGCAGGCTATTCAGAAGCCCTCGAGATGCTTCAACCACCTGGAGTGGGGTGTGCCTGGGTGGCTCAGTGGGTTAAGAGTCTGGCTGTTGGTTTCGGCTCAGGTTGTGTCATGATCTCATGGGTCATGGGATCCAGCCCCACACCCTGTGCAGGGCTTCCAGCTGGGCTGGGAGTATGCCTCAAGATTCTTCCCTTCTGCCCCTTCCCCTGCTTGCACGCTCATGCGTGCTCTCTCTCAAATAAATAAATTTAAAAAATGCAAAACAAAACTCCTCCTTTGGATTTTCTATCATCTCCTGGAACACACCTTGCTTATAGCACTGGGTCAGTCAAGGTCAGATGGCATGCTCCTTGCTGGATTAATTGTCTCTTCAATACAATGGTTCAAATCCAGCAACTCTTCAGGGGAGGTTCTGAGCAGTACCAATTAGAGGTACTAGGAGTATTCACTTAGTTATCCTCTGCTCATAATTCTAAGTCAGTGAGGCAGGCTGATGATTGGATCATATCCATATAACACAATTCAGGCACATGTGTGATCATCATAGGCCCAATATTGTCATCCTTTGTAAGCCTTTCAGTTTATCAAGGACTCTAGTCACATAAAAACGAGGGAGAGGGTGAACAATTTATAGATTTCCCCCCTTAGTTCCTATTTCTTTTATTTTCTCCCAGCACAAAAAAGTTCTTAAAATTTGTGAAAATATGAGAAAAAAAACCAGAGTAATCTGACGTTTTACTATATGTAAAATTCTGAATTTGTAGGGGCACCTGGGTGGCTCAGTCATTAAGCCTCTGCCTTCGGCTCAGGTCATGATCCCGGGGTACTGGGATCGGTCCCTGCATCGGGCTCCCTGCTCGGCAGGAAACCTGCTTCTCCCTCTCCCACTCCCCCTGCTTGTGTTCCCTCTCTCGCTGTCTCTCCCTCTCTCTGTCAATTAAATAAATAAATAAATCTTTAAAAAAAAATTCTGAATTTGTATTTTTTTCACTATTCTTAGTAAGACTGCTTAAAAAAAACCCAAACCTGACCATAATTCATCTTTAACCCCCAAGCCCTTTGACTTGATGAATTGACTAAAGTCACAGGCTTATTTCATACCGTGTGAGAATTTATATGTCCATTGTCCTTAACCACTCCTTACAGTCCCCCCTCCTTGATCATTTCTGCAGAATTCTTAGGCATTCCATCTTATAATTTGCATTGGCATTTTACCAGATTTCATAACTGATTTAATGACTTTAAAACATTGTACTTTATAATTAGAAAACACAGAGGAGGCGACAGTATCCCAGGAAACTTTTTTTAAAAAAAGTGTGGTAGTCGTACTGAATGTAATATTGATTAGCTGGTATTTATGATCTCCTTCTTCACTTCAGGGCCGGCAGCTTGACATTGGCACACCATATAATCTGAGTGAAACTGTGAGTAATCACTTCCACTGTCAGGAAGTTTATAATGTTTGCATTGATAAAAATGGGACAAGGGTCAGGTTTTATCACAATAAGAATAATTCCTAAGCAAAGTCTCATTTATTTTTCCTTGATGGAGGAAGTTCAATTGAAAATAGCAAGAAGTCTGAATTATGGAATATTAAAAAATGAACTCAGGCACAGTGTGTTGAAAAAGAAAGAACACAGGACTAATCCAACTCCATGATTTTGATTCTACTTGGCTGTGTGGCTTGCGGCAAATTACTTAATATTCCTGAGACTTAGTTTTATTACATGTTATCTGAGAGGGTTGGATGAGATGGTTTCCAGTGTTTTTTCTAACAATTACATTTATGGTTTTATTATTTTTTTGCACCTGTATCCATTTATTCATCGTGTTTAGTGACTCAAAATATAAACATGAACACACTTCCAAAACTGTGGATCTATTTAGGTTTTGATATGCTGCCTTCCAGTTGAGTCCCCAGTTTTGAGTTTTGCTTGTTGTGTAAGGACATGGCCAGGACCCATGATATGCTTGATGCCACGGTGTCCAGGACTTTACCTGCTGCCAGCCACCCAGGGGACAGTGTGCTCCCTGAAGGTTGGGTGATCTCCGGGTTCTAGGCCTGCCCACGCCACCTCCCCTCAGCAACCCCGCTGTCCTGCGGTGAGTCACACCAAGCCCCGCTCCGCCTGGAGATAGGAGAGTTCTGCTTAGGATTCCAAAGGTCCTGATCCTTCTGAGGCCACAGATTCCTGGGTAGATACATTTTGTTAGTATGTTGCACTAGTCAGGTGTCAAGAAGAAAATCACCCTTCTCTAGTCACCATTGTCTCTTAATATATCTCTTGCAGTGCATCCAGGGATGTCATTTTTGGAACTCTGTAGATGAGGAAAACTGTGCTTTAAAGTGTGTAAGTATTAATTATGTTTCTGTTTTGATACTAATATTTCCTTCAGAAGAAAAGTTATCTAAGAGGATTCCCATTTGAATTTCCATTGGTTTTCAATGGCCTGAGTGATACATAATAGTGGGGAAAAATTGAAATAAACGCTATTAATGCAATTGGAGACCCAGGGAGGTTAACGCAAACTGTGGAACCCAGGGATGCCCAATTGCTCCAAACTATAATGGCCTTTTAGTAGAATGTCAGGCACTTGTCAAATTTCCTAGTCCTGTGCTTCTCAAATGTTAAAGTACAGTTATCTAAGGATCTTGTTAAAATGCAGATTCTGATTCTGAAGACCTGGAGTGGGACAAGCTCCCAGATGATGTGATGCTTGTAGTCCCCAGATGACACTTTGGCTAGCAAGGCCCTAGATCACGTTCGAAGTTTCTCTGCAGGGAACATGGCAGCAATCCAATCCAGAGATTACAAACTCCTACGTTTACTCCACTCTATGTAGAAAATACATCCCCAACTACTTTATTTTTCATTTTTTTTTCAGACTATTTTTCATTTTTAATTAACCCCAGCTTTGCCACTTAGTGTGTAACTGGTTACGGTACTTAACCTCTTGGTACTTTACTTTTCTCCTCAGTAAATTCGGGTAATAATAGAATCTCTCTCTTAAGGATAATGCCTGATACACCGTAATTATTCTGGTCTAGTGAATAAGAATTTCGTCATTTAGAAGCGGGTTCCTTTGTTCAGGTTGTTCAAGCCTGAGGTTGAATCATGGTATTTTGGGGTAATCCTAATATCGTTTTCTATTAATGAGTGAAACTACATCATTGAGATTTAAATAAGACGTTAACTTCTCCTTCCCAATGGTGCTCACAGCTTTTCTGGAATGGTCTGTGCTCGGGTCTCTATGACAGGCTGAGGCTTACTCTCACGTTCGTGACTACGTGCCCCATAGAATGGGAGTTACCGAAAGTGGTGCCGGCACTATCTGGATTTGGGAACTATCACACATTCTAAAAATTCTTTTACGTCTCTTTGGTGCCACTTTTTACGAAGTCCAGTGGAAATCATCCTTCGTCTAGTCCGTGTTTGCTGGCGTTTGCTACCGCCTGTAAGCCCCTCAGAGCAGGTCTCTCTCCTTCTTGCTCACACTGTCTGTTTCACCCAAGACCATGAGAGGCACAGAGCAGGTGCTCCGACAGCACTTGCCAAGTGAATGAGTGGGAGGTACCAAACGGTGACAGTCCAGGCCGTACAGTGGGCATCAGAGCCGCTAGTCCGGGCAGGGGAACCTTCGCTGGCCAGAGTTATTGGTTGTTTTCAGGTCAGGTTCTATCTCCACTGGGCATCTGCCAACACCTCTTCATTCTCTAACCTGGTCCACCACAGATTACCTCTTAGTTGACTGGGAGTTTCCAGTAGACATCAAACTACCATTTGTCCAGTGATGCAAACATAATTTTTTTTTTTTTTTTTGAGAGAGAGAAAGAGCACATGAGCGAGGAGGGACAGAGGGAGGAGAGAGGGAATATTTAAGCAGGCTCCAGCTCAGTGCGGAGCCCAGCACGGGCTCCATCTCACAACACTGAGATCATGACCTGAGCCGAAATCAAGAGCCTGTCGCTTAACCAACGGAGCCACCCAGGTGCCCTGCAAACGTAATTTTTATAGCTGTTCATACAGTGGCCTGCCTGGACAGAAGGCCCAGCTCTGGGCTCCTTGATGTTGATTGTTTTTATTGGTTATTTGTCAATGGTGTGGCAAGAAATTAATTTGAAAGAAATATAAAGCCAAGTGTCATTAAAATTATTTACAACCTTAAGGATTTTAAGTAATTTCACTTTTCTTTGCTCTTATGCAGAACGACACCTATGGCACTGTTTATGAGGTGAGTTGGCCATCACAAAAAAGATGTCATCAATCCCCGTGTCTTTATCTCTTATGTTTAAAAAGCTATTAAAATAAGAATGAAGAAGCCTGACTAATTCTCAGTGCACAAAATCTTCCTCATGAGAGTGCTATTAATCTGGGTATAAAAATGACTGTAAGATTCCATTTTTGACACAAATACTTGCTGTTTTAAATACCTGTGTGCATATATATGTGTATGTGTATACACACTTATTCATATAGATACATATATACTACTCTAATCTGCTTGGACAGGTTCTAATTCTGGGAGCCCGGTGGGGAGAGCGGTGGGGAGAGAGGAGGGGACCCATCTAGGAATACATTTACCTCTGCTGATTTCATCTTCTTCCCCATAAATCACAGTAATTTATCATTAAATATGTATATTAAAAAAGAACACTGTAGTTGCAATTTTCTTCCTTATTCAACAAACTCCTTTGATAACACTTTTAAAGCACAGCTTTTAAGATGTTTTATTTATTTATTTATTTATTTATTATCATTTTATTTATTTATTTGAGAGAGAGAGAATGAGAGATAGAGAGCACGAGAGGGAAGAGGGTCAGAGGGAGAAGCAGACTCCCTGCCAAGCAGGAAGCCCGATGCGGGACTCGATCTCGGGACTCCGGGATCATGACCTGAGCCGAAGGCAGTGGCTTAACCAACTGAGCCACCCAGGCACCCAAGATATTTTATTTTTTATTTTATTTTTCCCTGCTACGATAGTAAGTGTCTTCATGCTGACTTTGGCTGCTCAGGTCTCTTTTTTCAGCTCCTCCTCCCTATGCTGGCCCCTCCCCTGCACTGGAGTTTCTCCTCTTTTTCAGAAAGACCTTAGGGGTTTTGATTTTTTTCCTACTTGATCTTCTTTAACTGTTCTGGATTCTATGGCCCTCAGAATTAGTTTTAGGTTGACCATAGAGGTTTATGAAGAAAATACATTATTTCTCAGTTTAAAACCTAGGTTGTATTCTATTTAAATGTCCTTGAAACCAAAGAACAGAACTATTTTATTCTGGATTATTCTATTTTATTCAAGGATTATAACTTGCCATCCATCAGTAAAACAGAAAAAATTTCTTTTTACTAGAGAATAAAACTAAACAACAAAAAAAGTTACATTGGAGCATTTTCTCAATAGTCTGTGCTTACTCTGCACCTGAGTGATTTTCCCCTGGGAGTAGAAGGGGGGGCGGGGGGGTGTTAGGGCTGGCTAAGAAGAGGTGAAACAGGGCAGGGGTGGATTCACTCCATATGTAAAAAAACAATTATAGGTCTTTCCTGATTGAGATTAAAAAAAGAACCCCAAAACTGCCTTAGAATCTTTTTATGTGATTAAAGTAACATTACCACCCTCCCCCCCGCCAAAACCATCGCTGGGAAGATTGTGTTAAGAAAATCAGGGATGGTTCAAGCCTCTCAAGCATGGGAACAGCCCGAGATTGGATTTCTAATGAGGTAGCTCCCTGGCGGTCAGTGAGCTGACCTGCTGTCTGCGTCTGTATGACGTCCAGCTTTTCTCTCGGTGTTATAACTTACATAATTATTCTGTCTTTTCTTTGTATACTTGGCTATTTTACACTTTAAATAAAGTAGAACTGAACAGCCATACATGCTATATAGAGATCGAGATAGATATATGGATACACAAATGTTTGAACCATCTCCATACACCTGCAGGAAATCAAACTCTTCAACCGTTAATGCTTCAACCTATGAAGCTGGGAATTTCTGCACATGTTCCTTGGAGGAAATAGTGTTGGAAGAGTTAGCTTAGCAAACTGTAACTTGGAAAATGATGTTAGCCAGTGAGATGGCTTATCCCTGATCATTAAAAACACAAATTAGATTATATTGTTCCTAAAAACCTTTCTATGGCTTTGCGCTGCCATTTGAGAAAGCTCAAGGAACTACCATTTGCTGGCTCCCCTGCCTCACCTTGCACCCCCTCTCCCTTGTTCTCTGTGCCTGCCGCATTGGCTTTTCCCTCTTTGGAGTATAGGGGGAACATTCCTGCCTGCTAGCTTCTGTCCTTAAGACCTCTGTGAGCCCAGATTCTTGCAATCACTCAGGTCCTGCTCCAGGCTCCTCTCTGCATGGTTCTTCCTGAGCACCCTGATGAGATGAAGCCTCCTTCCTGCCTAGTCATGCCTTATGCCTTTAACTTGTTTTATTTTCTTCATAGCACTTCCCATTATCGGAATGTATTTTACTTAAATTTTTTTTACTCGGTTGTTGTCTGTCCTCTTCTTAGAGAATGTAAATTCCATGACAGTGGGGAACTTATCAGTCTTTCTCACTGCCAGATGCTTAAAGCCTACACCAGTGCTTGGCACACACACAAAATATGTACTCAATAAGCATTTTTTGAATGAATGAATGAATGGTTTTTAAGGAAAGGAAGCCACAATTCTTACGGAGAGGCTGTACTAGGGGCATCCCAGGAGGGGGGTGGGTATGTCCTCCTTGTGTTACAGGAGTAAGGAAAGGCATTGCCAGTACGTGTGCCTGTCTGATAAACACAGGGGTGGAGCCAGAGGGATGATGAGAAAGGTGGTTTTACTACTGTGGGAGAAATGGGAGTGTGGACTAGAACAGAGACAGCAGACGGATGTGGCTGGCCCCTGGGAAGCGTGAACTTGGCTTCTGCAGTGGGAATGGTAGCTCAGTGGCCTGGGATACACTGGTATAAATGTCTCATCCAGGTGCTGTGGGCTCAGATTCTGTGATTTCCTTAAATCTGACCACCTTTAGATTCTCTCCAGGCAATTTGAGCACTGGATAATGTCATTCTAAGCCCAATGTTAGATGAGAGAGAGAGGGAGAGAATCTAATTTATAGTGTTGCCTCCACTTGATATAACATTTAAACTCCTTAGAATACAAACTTCCAGTTTTAATATTAACAAGTTCTGGTGATCTAATGTACAGCATGGTGATTATAGCTAATAATTCTGCATTCTATACCTGAATGTTGCTAAGAAAGTACATCTTAAATGTCCTCACCACAAAAAAGAAATGGCAATTATGTGATAGGATGGAGTTGTTAGCTGACGCTATAGTGGTAATCATTTTGCAATATATAAATGTATCAAATCAACATGTTGTATATCTTAAACTTAGACAATTTATTTATTTATTTATTATTTATTATTTTTTTTTAAAGATTTTATTTATTTATTTGAGAGAGAGAGAATGAGAGACAGAGAGCACTAGAGGGAAGAGGGTCCGAGGGAGAAGCAGACTCCCCGAGCAGGGAGCCCGATGTGGGACTCGATCCCGGGACTCCAGGATCATGACCTGAGCCGAAGGCAGTCGCTTAACTGACTGAGCCACCCAGATGCCCAAACTTAGACAATTTATATGTCAATTATATCTCAATAAAGCTGAAAAAAATACAAGCTTCACAGAGTAACAAAATATTTAAACCCCTAGATCGATCAGAATTTTATTATATATTTTCCTCTGAAAAGATGCAGGAAAAATAAACCCACAATTTACTGGATAATCAGGACTAGCAATATTTCCAAATAAACACTATTCTATTTCCTTTCTCTTTCCTTGGTTTTACTTCTTGGAAAAAAATTCCATGTTACATGATAATTTTGTTGCCACTTGGTATATTTATTCTCTGCAGTTAATAAACATGTAGAATGTATTTTACTGAAACCTGCAAAAGGAATGTGAAAAGTATCCTAAGCCCTTAAATTAAATAATCCTGAGCCCAGACTGAGGTATTTAAATTAATCTTTAACTAAGCAAACCCGAGCTTATCAGTCTGCACTTCCCTTGAGTGAATAGGTCAAACATTGTGCAGCTGGTATTTGCAAATAACCTGGGATGTTTAGGGCAAATGTTTTGTGTCATGGTTTCCACTATCACCATGAGAAACAACAGCACGTTGTCCTAGGTATTATAATTGCAAATTGAATGAAAGCAGGAAGATGGATCATGATTGTGTTAGAGTCTTACAATTTGTGCCTTTCCTTCCTTCCTTCCTTCCTTCCTTCCTTCCTTCCTTCCTCCCTCCCTCCCTCCCTCCCTTCCCTCCTTCCTTCCTTCCTTCCTTCCTTCCTTTCTTTCTTCTTTCTTTCTTTCTTTCTTTCTTTCTTTCTTTCTTTCTTTCTTTCTTTCTTTCTTTCTTTCTTTCTTTTCTTTCTTCTTTCTTTCTCTCTTTGTAATGAATGCTAATGCATCTGTTAAGAGTTGCAGGAGATTTATGTCTAGGTCATGAAAATGTTTACTGTTTTAAGTTAATGAAGTAAAATGCTAATCATTGCTAGGTTTTTGTAGACCTTAAAATGTAACGTTAGTATTAGGATATTCATTAAAATGTTCAAGTTACTATAAAATTTAGTCAGTTTTTAATTTCTGAAGGAAAACATGGATATCTAAAATAAATAGGCATCATCTTAGGCTAGAGTTTTAGGTTATTAACTCACTAAACCTTTGACCAAGATGGCAAACATATAATTGCATTGTTGAGCTCAATGCTTCCTCACACTGTGGGATGTCACTCGTTAGAGGATTATGAAATCAACTTAGTGAATAAGGAGTCACAACAAACAAAATGAAAGAATAGACTAGAACAGAACGGCTATGATTGCATTACAGGTGTGAGATTTCTTAATGGGATGAACTTGTTCTAAAATTAGATTGTAGTGATGATTGCACAATTCCATGAATATATTAAAAACCACTGAATCGTGTACTTTAAATCTTTTTTTTTAAAGGTTATTTATTTATTTATTTGAGAGAGAGAGAGAGAGAGAACAGGAACACAAGCAGGGGGAGTGGGAGAGGGAGAAGCAGGCCTCCTTCCGAGCAGGGAGCCCGGTGTGGGTTTCGATCCCAGGACCCTGGAATCATGACCTGAGCCGAAGGCAGAAGCTTGATGACTGAGCCACCTTTAAATGGGTGAATTTTATGGTATATGAAATAGACCTCAATAAAACTGTTAAAAAAGGGAAAAAAAGTACTGTTTCAAGATGTTGTTTTGTTAAATGTGTTTTGGAATTTGGGACATGGTCAAAAAAGTTTGAAAGGTGCTGTTCTAATCCCACTAGCAAAAGGAAACCTAAAGTATTGCAGTTGAAATAATTGATATACAGGTATACTTATATATACCAGGCACTTGAATGTCACAGTGTAGTTGAAATGTATCAGGAAAAGCAGGAGCAAGGCGGCCCTGACTGGGATATTACCTGTCTCCACAGAGAGAATCATGTGAGGTCGGCTGCAGGAGTGCTGAAGGTGCATTTGAGGAGGAAGTGCTAGGTAAGCAGACATATGCAGCAATTATTAAAAATACTCGACACCACTCTAGGGACCCGTGCTCATGTAAGGAGAATGAGTCATCTCTTAAAATATTTAGACTTCTATATCTCAGCATTATAAAAATATAAAATATAGTAATAATATAATATAATATAATTTCAGATGTGGAAGCCATTGTGATAGAAACTCAGCAAGACTCTTCTTTCAGAGCAAAACAGGGGGAACATAGCACCTGACTGAGGTTTAGAATTTGAGATTTTTTGCCCTCAGTTCAGTAAGTGAAATTACTTCTGTCTTAATGAAAGAGACGACTATGGCTCTTAAGCAGACTTGATGTCAGGAAATGCCGCTATTTTAACGAACTGAAAGCACAGGAATATTTTATTTAATGTGCATTTAATTATTCAGCTACTAGCTAGTCAATAGAGTACCTATGATATGCATGGCTCCCTACAAGGCTTCTTGCTTTTAGATTTTGAGTAAGTAGGGTACTAAGCTGTATGTCTCCAGCTCCTTCTGTCTGATTTCAGAGCAGGTTGGGTGTTGTCTAAATGGCTTTGTCCTAGTGTGTTAATTCTCTAGTGGTTTCTGAAGGACCAGCTCTTTGATAAGTCGCAGCCTCGATGTTAGTAGCTTTCTTTTCCAGAATTTCCAGGGTCTTCCTCCCACTAAGAGATAGATAGTTCCTTCCAGACTGGGAAATAATCGATTCTTCCATAGTTGTAGTCTTTGTTTTGATGGCTTGCACCTTGCTCTCAGTGGCTGATGGAAAATGGGGGGATCTTGCCTTGCTGACCTGATTTGCTTCTGTCTTTTAGACAGAACCCCTTGACATTTCTGTGGAGAGACATATTACATTCTTTTCCTACTGTGTAGTGGGAGTTGGCTATGGATAAAATTTATATTCTATGGTTTCCAAACTGTGCACTGAGGTACCCCAGTGCATTGTATCTACCTCATAGGAAGGCATGGGGCATTTTGAACATTCAAGGGAGACACAGGATAGTTGACGTCTTCTGGACATCATTGGAAGTACTAGTTGGAGGTAGTTCATGGTATAAATAATGAAATGCACTACATTCCTTTCTATAGTATATCTTTGCAATGCTGAGTTTTTTGGTGATTGCTGTGATAAAAAGAAGGTACCATAAAAAACTCAGTGTGGAACAGGAGATGGGGATGGTGGTGCCCAATCTGATTATAATATTGAGAAATTGTGCCATCCCCAGTAGGCATACAGATCCCATTAGTGTGCAATTATTTTTATTTAAGGGTTAAATATATATGTTGTCTTTCAGTTTATGTGTGTTATTTCTTTCAAACATCTACTAAGTTGAAAGGACACGCATACTTAAGTTACAATACTTAATTAACGGACGGAGCTGTTAGGTAATTCTTTTGGTCCAAGGAGTTATGAAAAAATTACTGAGAAACTGAAGATGCCAGAACGGAGAAAGTTTAGGAAACTTTGATTTACATTCTTTTCTTATATTCCAAAGTTACACTACCATCTTAATTATATATTCTGTTAGAATACAAGTGTAATCAATGCTTTACTTAAAATTTCTCATCGACTATGGATTAATGTCTATAGACCATTAACAAATGAGATATACCAAGGCCAAATAAAGGCATATAAATAATATGTTTATAGGCCATATCTTTAGTTTGTTAGAATGAATCCTTTTGCCCATACACCTAAGATTGTGTTTGTCTCTAAGACATCTGGTACCTGGTCCATTTGTCTGTGAGTCTGCTACATTATTCTATTTTAGATACCATCCATATCTCTTTTCCACAGTGGAAATGGTAATAGTTAAGAATATATTAAAGTAAAAAAAAAACCTATTATTTATTAGGCATTTATGAGTCAGGCACTGGTAAAAGTAATATATAGGTATTAGCTCTTTTTGAGCTCAAAGGGATAAATACTATTATTATCCCCATTTTACAGATGAGAAAAATGAGGCACAAAGCATATATATATTTGCTTGGGGCCACATAGAAAGGGATGAACTTGAAGATGAACTAGAAAGGGAGTGACTTGATTTTAACCCTCTGATCTGATTCCAGAGCCTTTTCTTGCCCATTCAGCAGTGTGTTGAAAGTAGTATACAGATCAGTTGAGCTTCTCTTTCCCATTTAGTTAATTCTTATCCTGATATTTTAGAACAAACCTATTTGACCTCTGATTTTCCATACACATTGCCATGGCTTTGAAACACATTATCTCCAGTTAGCTGTGAAGTTTACATTTACTTGCACTTACTCATATAACTCTGGTTCCTTTTGCCAAGTTCTCAACTTAGGTTCTTTCTGATTCTTTTGGATCTTCTCCCTTACTCTGGTGACAGCTCCACACTGGACCCCTCTTTAAAGGGTCAACCTTAAAAATAAAATAGCCAGTTATCTTACTAGCAAAATGAGTTTATTTGGGAATAGCAAAGGAATTGTAATTCGGGACAAGCAAACTAAGGCAAACCATAGGCAAGTCTGGAGAACAAAGGGAAGGTCAGCTTTTATAGAAGAAAGAAGGAAATTGGGGAGGGTTGTTTTGAACAAAAGTTCACTGGAGAAGAAAAAGAGCTCGAGGTTGTGGTGGTTTCTCATCGGCTGCGAGTGATGGTTAGTGCATTGTTGCTGGAGAACGGAGGGATCTTCCTTCTTTTTCTTAAAAAAAAGAAAAAAACAACACAAAACGATGAAATTCCCGTGTGAAAAATGTCCTCCTTGGCAAAATAATTCTTAACTTCCTTCTTTGTTCTACAGGCTGCAACCAGTGGTGAGTGGGTGAGAGAGCTCCCCCTTCAGGGCTTCCTGACTCCATTTTAAACCAGGTGTCCCTAATTTTTTGACAAAGGTTTCCCACAGACTATTGCAATCTTTGCTATTAGGTGTCTTACACCATAAAACAGGGGAAAAAAATGGAACTGTGCTTTGCTTGTATAGTTATAACAACTAAAAATGAACCATAATTAGAAGAATCAGCAGAGAAGTGTTGTGCTAAGGCTCTCTGGGCTAGAACCTCAGAGGACAATGGCTTTCTTTTTTCTGGGTCACAGAGTATTCTGGTAGTATGGACTTTAATTAGTTCAGATTCAGTATCTATAGCAATCAGAATGGTGTCAACTTTTAACCAGAAAGAGAGAGGTCATGGAAGTTTGTATTTAGCCATTTTAAGCTTCTTACAAGAATTTATTATGTTTTCTCGACCAGAGTAGTCATTGTTTTTTAGAAAAGAAAGCTTATCCTCTAAGGTCAGGAACAAGGCAAGGATGCCTGCTTTTGTCACTTCTATTTAGCTTAGTACAGGCAGGAAAAATAAATAAGCCATCCAAATTGGAAAGGAGGAAGGAAGATTATCCTTGTTCACAGATAATATGATCTTACATGTAAAAAATGCTAAAGATAGCACAAAAAACTGTTAGAACCAATAAATTCAGCAAAGTAGCAGTATACAAAGTAAACACATGAAAATCAGTTGCATTTCTGTTTGCTGATAATGAACAATCTGTAAAGGAAATTAAGAAAGCAATTCTATTTACAATAGCATCAATAAGCATAAAATACTCAGGAACTAACTTAGCCAATCAGGTAAAAAACTTGTAAAATAAAAACTATAAAACATTTCTGAAACAAATTAAAAAAAGACTTAAATAGAATCCCATATTCAGGGGCGCCTGGGTGGCTCAGTTGGTTAAGCGACTGCCTTCGGCTCAGGTCATGATCCTGGAGTCCCGAGATCGAGTCCCACATCGGGCTCCCTGCTCGGCGGGGAGTCTGCTTCTCCCTCTGACCCTCTTCCCTCTCGTGCTCTCTGTCTCTCATTCTCTCTCTCTCAAATAAATAAATAAAATCTTTAAAAAAAAAAAAAAGAATCCCATATTCATGGATTGAAAGACAATACAGTTAAGATGTCAATGCTCACCCAAAACAACCTACAGATAAATGTAATCCCTATCAAAATTCCAGTATCTTTTGCAGAAATAGATCTATTTGAAAATTCATATAGAATCTCAAGAGACCCCAAATCTTAAAAAGAAGAACAAGGCTGGATGACCCACACTTCCTGATTTTAAACTTATTACAGTAATAAAGACAGACATATAGACAAATGGACTAGAATAAAGACTCCAGAAATAAATCCTGTATAGATGGTCAAATGATTTCTGACAAGGGTGCCAAGACTATTCAATGGGGAAAAGACAATGGGTGCTGGAAAAACTGGATATCCACATACAAAAGAATAAAATTGGACCCTTACATAATATCATATGAAAAAATTAACTCAAAATGGATTCATGACCTAAATGTAAGACCTAAAACTATAAAACTCCTGGAAGAAAAAATAGAGTAAAAGCTTTGCAACTCTGGATTTGTCAATGACTTCTTGGATATGATACCAAAGGCACAGGCAATGAAAGAAAAAATAGACAAATTGGACTTCATGAAAATTAAAAAAAATATATACATCATCAGACACTATCAACAGAGCAAAAAGGCAACAATAGAATGGAAGAAAATATTTGCAAATCATATAACTGATAAGGGATTAATATCCAGAATATATAGAAACTCCTAAAATTGAACAGCCAAACAAACCAAACAATCCAATTCAAAAATGGGCGAAGGACCTGAATAGATATTTCTCCAAAGAATATATATGAAAGGTCAATAAGCACATGAAATGATAGTCAACATCACTAACTGATTAGGGAAATGCAAATCCTAACTACAACTAAATACCACCTCACACTCATTAGAATTGCTACCTTTAAAAAACCCAGAAAAACAAAAGTTTTGATGAGGATGTAAAGCAGATGGAATGCTTGTGCACCATTGGTGGGAAGGTAAAATGATATAGCCTCTGTGGTAAACAGCATGATGGTTCCTCAGATATTAAAGACAGAATTACCATAGAATCTAGCAATTCCACTTGTGTGTATATACTCAAAATAAAGCGGGTTCTTGAAGTGATATTTATACACTGATGTTATACGCTTCTTGTTGAATTCACAATAGCTAACACATGAAAGCAATCCAAGTGTCCATTGACAAATGAATGGATAAGCAAAATTTGATATATACCTACAATGGAATGTTATTCAGCCTTAAAAAGAAAGAAAATTGACACATGCTACAACATGGATGAACCTTGAGGACATTATGTTAAGTGAAATCAGCTTGTCACAAAGAGACAAATATTGTTTGATGCCACTTACATGATGTATTAGAGTAGTCAAAGTCATAGAGGCCAAAAGTAGAATGGTGTTTGCCAGAGGCTGGGGGGAGGCAGAATGGGGAGTTAATGATTAATGGGTAGAGTTTCAGTTTTGCAAGATGAGAAGAGTTCTGGAGATGAATGGTGGTTATGGTTGCACAACAATAAAAATGTACTCAGTACCACTGAACATACTTAAAAATGGTTAAGATAGTAACTTTTATGTCATGTGTATTTTACCACAGTTAAAAATTGGGGGGAAAAAGCAAGCTGAAGCATGATATCACTCACAATTTTGGAAGATAGAAAAAGTAAAGTAAAATAACTTCATCCCAGTGGAACATACCATTCCAAATTCTAGCCTTTTGTATGGGGCCTGGAAGTAGCAACAATAAATGTGTGTTGCCAGTTGTAATGTTGATGTAGGAAAAACGTTAAGGTTTGAAGCCGATGGCCAAGAAAGAATTCTTGAGACATCTTTGGTGCAAAAAGGTGGTTTTATTAAAGCACAGGGACAGGAACCATGGGCAGAAAGAGCTGAGGGGTGGCAATTTATATGCTTTCAAGTGGGGAGGGGGCTAGGGATGGCGTAAGTCTCTCCAGAATTTTAGAAGCAAGGTTTCCAAGACCTTGAGGGGGTTAACTATTGTTGGAAAAAGGTCGTTTATTACTGTCCACTAAAACCTTAGTTGTGAGACCCTCCAGATGTATATCAGTGGGTCATATGCTTGGGGGATGATTGCCAACATGTATTTTGGGGAGTAGAGATAAAGAAAGTTTCTAAAGGAATTTTTTTTCTTTGTTAAAGAAGACCTACAGGATCCTGGGGGTCAGGCTAAGATTGCCTTTTGCCTTTAGCAAAGTGTCAGCATTGAGGCAGTTGAGTCCCTAGAGGAATGTCACTCTGCCTCTTTCAAGGACTTGCCAATGGGGCTGTAAGCATTAAGGAAATTTAATAATTTTTCTTCTGCCTTTGTTTCCCATATCAACGTTACTAATGTTTAGAAGTCACAAAATACTTTACAATATGGAACAACTGAATATAGAATCCTTTGGAGTAGAATTACTTGTACGTATAAACATAATTTATTGACAAGATGAGCAATAGCAACAGGTTTGTAGTGTAAAATTTTAAAAATGTCTTGGGATACATGTTCTGGAACAATAGATGGTTCTATTATGTGCCATACACGTCCCTGGCACCCACCTGTAAGGAAGTGGTATCATAAGAGAAAACTGTACAATACTCCATGTTGCTTGCCTATAAAAAAAATGATAATAGTGAATTCTACAGGGAAAACAAGATGTCAGACTGTCTAGCTGATTTATAAAAATAAACCAATTGAATATGTACATCATTTATTATTCAGGTAAGTTATTGTGGCAAGATGTAGTTGTGACAAGAGACTCCTCAGAGCCCGAGATGAAACAGACACCCTTTCTCCTGACTTGACAGACAGAAGTGCATGGTGAATGAAGTCCTGTTTTCTCCCCAGAAAATGCTGATTTCCCCACTGCACCCTTTGCTTCTTCTATTGGAAGCCATGGTGTGACCTTACGATGGAAATCTGCCAACATCTCTAGAGTAAAATACATCATTCAGTGGAAATATGCACAACTTCCTGGAAGCTGGACTTATACTGAGGTATGAAAAGCTGCCTGTGTACGTACACACAAGTTTTTTTTTCCAAATTATTAAAAATGCCAAATTACTACATATTATTATAGGTATAAAGACATTCTAGAGAAGATTCAAGTGTAAGATGAATGGTTGGGTTAGATGAACTTTAATCTCTGCTACTCCGTAACATGTTGATGCTAAATCCTTTATTTTTGAGGAAAACATATTAGAAATACATCTTGTTCCTTCAGCAGTGTCACCTAACCAACTACTCATATCCTTGGTCATTTTCTGCCCACCCCACCTACAAGGATTCTAACTAGGATGGAGGGCAAGAAAGTCATCTAGGACTGTCTCTTTTAAGAAAGCATGAGAAAGTTCAGAGGAAAATAGCCCAAGACACTAAGTATATATTTTTTTAATGTTTTTATTGTTACGTTAATCACCATGCATTACATCATTAGTTTTTGATGTAGTGCTCCATGATTCATTGTTTGCGTATAACACCCAGTGCTCCATGCAGAACGTGCCCGCTTGTATATTAACATAGAGAAATTATTAAAGCCTTGAGGTAAATGCCAAATAACTGAATCCATAATTTTGCCAATTTGAAGAAGGAGAGACTTTGGGTGTGAATTATGCAGACTGACATCTGGATGGCTCAGCTCCGAGCTCCGGGCCCATTTCTTCCGGGCTGGCAGGCCCCGGGTCATCCCATATCCAAGAAGTCCTGAAGCTCTTACAAACTAATCTGTGCTCTTGAGCCGCACTGTGTGGTGGTGATTCTGTAAACACTAATTATTAATCTCTCCCTGACGTAGGCCATGTCCAAGCTCTCATATGTGGTACAGCCCCTGCATCCCTTCACTGAGTATATTTTTCGAGTGGTCTGGATCTTCACAGCCCAGCTCCAGCTGTATTCTCTGCCAAGTCCCAGTTACAGGACTCAGCCTTATGGAGGTACACTGTGTCCCTGTGGCTCATGAAATAAGGAGATTATTCCAAAGCTTTAGTTTAGTTTGTTTCTATTTTAAATAATGAAATAAATTATTCCTTTGTCAATTGATCCATTCAGTAACTGATCTAACCATATGCCCCGTAGCATTCTAGGTGCTCAGCATGTCTCTATGATCAGTACCAAACTCCCTGGTCTTGTGCAGCTCTCCTTTTGGTGGAGGAGACATACTCGAAGCAGTAAGCATAATAAATAAGGAAAGCACGTTGGAAGTGGGAAAGTGCTGTGTACAATGTTAAGAGGGACTTTTTGAATAGGGTCTGTCCGTTAGGGGCTTGCAAATGGGGTGCAAATAGGGCGCGGGGGTGAAGGACAGTCAGGTTGCAGAATAAGCCTCAATAAGCAGTTAGCAGTTAAGGACAGTTTTTAAGCAGAGAAGTAATTGCTTCACATGCTTCTGAAAAAGATAGTTTTGGCAGCTATGCATGGGATGGATTGAAGGAATGAGGGAATCAGATTGGAAAGCACAGAGGGAGAGCGGTCAGCCTGGAGGTTATGATAATACTTGGACATTTTATCAGACATGATTTAAAAAAAATTGCACCTATTTTGGAGCGTTTCTGATTTCTTCTTTTGAAGATGTGACTTCCATGCTGGGAAAAGGGATCTAACCTAGAGCATTTTAGGGGAGTGTATGTGCAGGGCAGACACTGAAGGAGAGTTATGTGGTGCCCTTACCCTCAAGGTTAGCTGACTGGACCTGCGGGGATGTACTCCAGACCAAGTGTTAGATGTCCCAACCCCTCAGTTCTGGAGACTCGGCAGTGTGCACAGAGCCTCACATTGAACTAGGCTGTGGACCTAAGCACAGTTGGACAGCTGATGAAGCTGGTGACGGCATTTTACCTTTTCCCTGATTCGTGCTGGCTTACTGCTTATCAGATTTTAGGCTGTGTGTGGCCACCTCTGCTGATTATTCCCTGACCATCCTCCAAAGCTTGGGTCAGACATTGGCTAGGGCAATATTTGAAATGTTCCAGATCAGAGTGGAATACGTGGATCCTTCTTTGTTCAAAGCAATGCCTCATGTATTCCAACAGTGCTGGGACATTTTCTGATGCTGGAGAGATAATATGATCCAGGACCCATGGCGGCCCATGGCTAGTCAAATCAAAATAATGAAGAAGGCAAATTTTGCTTTCCAGTTCTGGGCTTTTCTCCTGGATTTGCAAGCCCTCATGCCCTCCATGTATTCCAGACCTACACTGGATATCCTTCCATGGGTAGCACCTCATTCCTCAATTCTTCTCACTTTTCTAGCCACATTAAAACTTACAGTTACCTGTTTTGTGTTCCATGCCTCATGGCCCTCTTCTCCTTTCGTGATGGGAAATGTATGATTTAGATGGTATTATTACCTTTTAATCAAGGCCCTTATGAAGATAATTTCTTAACCAAGTAGAATGCTTAATAGGCAAGGAATATCGTGCCCACCCTGACTGGCCTTTCAGGGAGGATTTTTGTGGGAGAGATTTGGACAATAATCTCAGCTTACCATGTAGGTGGCATCCAACCTGCTCGAAGTGGAGCAGATCATGTCTGTGTCTGAGCATTGACCCTAATGAATTAGGTTTTTTGGCATCCTGCTTCTAATTAGTGAAAGATGATTTGTACCCCTCCGTTCACCAAGGTGACTGAGTGCAGGGAGCAGAAGAGTAGACACAGTGATGTTTGTGTTTGCCAAAGACTGGTCTGAGAGTTGAGGAGGAATCATATTGGAGAAAGGCTGAGAGATCAATAAACAGCCTTTTAAAAACTCATCCAGTGCGAAGGCTGCACTGTCTTAATTTCTACCAACTCTCCCGAGTCAGGAGTGATGCAGAACATTTGCCAAAAGTGTTCAGAGGGAGGGAAGTCTACATGAGAACAAAGTGACATCAAAGTGTGTCTTTCTACTGGAAGAGGAAATGAAAGGGCGGGTTTAGGGGGTGGGAGGTATGAAAAGTAGGTGGAGGCAGAATGGCAGACAGGCTGTTAGATCATTTGTTTTTCTTTCTGTTCTTTGCTACTTAGGTAGCTTCTCAAGTCTATGAGTGAATGCTTTTTTTTTTTTTTTTAAAAGATTTTATTTATATATATAACAGAGAGAGAGAGAGAGAGCACAACAGGGGGAAGCAGCAGGCAGAGGGAGAAGCAGGCTCCCCGCTGAGCAGGGAGCCCGATGTGGGACTCATCCCAGGACTGGGATCATGACCTGAGCTGAAGGCAGTCGCCCAACCGACTGAGCCACCCAGGTGTCCCTATGAGTGAATGCTTAATTAATGAATGCATGTTCCTTTAATCCTTCTCAAGGGAGAGGGTAGTGCTAAAGCACAGTGAACTTGGACTCTAAGGGACATTGGGCACCGTGGGAAGGAACATACATCAGGTGTCAGCAAGAGGGAAGCACACTGTTCTAAGTCCGGCTTGTCTGAGCCTGCATCTTCAACTGGAACTGGTCAGGCTATAGCAAGCACTCCAGTGAGTGAAAAGGCCCAGGATTTACTTTTTTCAACTCCTGTTAATCATTAACTCCCATTTTGTTATAGATTCTCTTCTTCCTAGCCGGGTTCCACCCCACAGTTTCAACTCACTCAGATCTCTGGAGACTTTTGATAACTTTTTTCTGGAACATTTATCCTATTTGCATACCTGCACCTTCATAAATTAGATGCAAGGAAAATAACACTTGGTAGAGTCCTTTAGGAAAGTAGCCAGCTGGTCTCATTTAGGGATCAAGATATCTTACCACCTTCTCTCTATCACTTATTTTGAATATTAATGAAAATATTTAATTTACACTTCAAAAAACAAGACTTTTTTCCCCCATGCTATTTACATTTGTTGCTTGTACATCTTCCTGCTCACCATGTCACCATTACATCTTCTAGTTCCTGAGACTGCTCCTTCCATTAGAAATATTGAGAGCTCGAGTCCCGACACCGTGGAAGTCAGTTGGGCTCCACCCCAATTCCCAGGAGGACCTATTTTGGGTTATAACTTAAGACTGATCAGCAAAAATCAACAATTAGATTCAGGGACACAGAGAACCAGTTTCCAGTTTTACTCCACTCTGCCAAATACCACCTACAGGTAAGAATTAAGTGGTGCAAGGAAGATGTAGCCAGCATGGCCGTAGGCATAATCATTATTTAAGACATATGGCCCCAAAGTCACTTAAATGTATTTGGAAAACTCCCATTGACTTTGTGCTGTTGGGTTGATGTTATCGTAGTTTTCCTCAAGTTTGTGTCTGTTAGACTACAGTGTCCTAAGCAAAAACATTCTGAAGTATTTCTGTTATATTCAGAGGATCCTTATAAATAGGCACCAATAAAGGCATCATAAACACCATAAATACCATTTCTTCATTTAACCCAACATGAAAAAAGTAAGGAAGTGAAATTCTGTTAGTGGTATTTTTTTATTAACCATTAGGGGGATTATTTTATTATTGTTAGCTTTTCCAGCATTTACAAAGGCCTCTTTAAATTTGGGTAGGGATGGGGGTCATGCAGATAGCAGAGTTCAGTTTTTGACCTCTGTGACCCTGAACTGTTCTATGTGGAATGCAAACAAGGATGTGATTGATGGTCATTTCAGGGCTGAGCAGCGGGACTGAGTAACTAGATATGTGCATTGCCACATTGTTCTTTAAATAGAAATATTATTGCTCCTTCTCTTTTTGTCTCATGTTCACACCATGCCATGTGAAACACATCTCTCTAAATTGTTTTTGGAATAGGTTTTCCATTGCAGCAGTAAATGAAGTTGGTGAGGGGCCAGAAGCAGAATCTAGTATTACCACTTTATCCTCAGCAGGTACATTCTGGGAATGCCCCTTCTGTTACTCGGGAACTGAGGGGGTGGCAAGGGTGGGTTCAGATCTCAGAGTCCTGGCTCATCGGGTTGATCCCAAGAACCCCACCTCTTCTGCCCAAATCAACATTGTCTTTTGGTACTTGGTAAGCTCCGATTTTAAATGAATCCCATCCAGTATTTGACAAATAGAAGTTATTGGTTTTAAATTAGAATTTAGGAATTTCAAAATTAGAATGAAAAATTTAGGGATTAAAAAAAAGTGGCCTCATACAAAGCCTTAGTTTCAGATGAAATCACTAGTGATTGTGACTCACATTAAACGCGTAGGGATACATGTTATCTTTTTGCCCTCACCCCCGTTTTGTATTATGTATCATCATTTAATACATATCAGATATCTTTTTATTCCATTCTCCTTCAGGTTTTTAAATATACCTGGACTTAATAATTTACATTTTACCATTTCGAATATTCAATCTACCAAGTTAGCTTTTGTTATTATTTTGAAGTATTATTTTTTTTTCATTTTGGCATTTAAATGATTGCCTGAGAGATTAAATACTTACTGTATGATACCTGTGTAGGAAAAATAATAAATGAAAATGCTTTCTAAGAAGCACTGGAAATATTCTGGGGACACGAGTAGGAGTCTTGAACAACACAGAAAGATTCAGAATTCTAGGAGTCTGTTTCCTATTTTCGCCAGAATCCCATTTGCTGAATGGACTGCCCCTTCCCCTAATCTGCACACGTCTATGTGTATTGAGTGTTGTCTATCACCAGCCTTTGGTTTTTGGCTGTTACTGGACTCTAGGAAAGGAGAGGCATTTTGTTATGCAAGAAGCATCCGAAGGATGAGTTAAATATAGAGCAGGTTTAAGGTTGTTGTTACTGCAATTATTGCATAACTTTTATTAATTGCCCTTCATCGACGCACCCTGCATCAGTCTCCAACTGAGTGGGACGTCAAGCAGAGTCCTGCAGTCCTCAGATTTCATTGCTCTAAGGACTTTTCTCTGGCCTCAAAGGGAGAGAGAATTAAAGACAAAACAGAGACAGCCAGTGTCTGTCTGGTGTTATGCAACAACCCAGTCTGGCCTGGGCTGGGCCACCTCCACCGAGCAGCCACATTCTCACGGCTGTGGGTAATGAGCTGAGCTCCTGCGGATGCAAGGCTGTTGAGAATGGTGATCCCTTATGTGGTGTTATTTTGGGGGCTTTTCGGGGCACATACATATAAAGCCTACTTGACTGACACTGTACTTCCCACCCCCAATCGTGGAATAATGTGATATATGCTGCAGTTGAAAAGCCCCCGGTGCCTTCAGAGAAAAATCTGACCAGCCTCGTTCGATCGTTAGTTGCCTTGCTTTGAAGGATGGTAATGGTTTTTTTGTGTGTCGATGTGCATGTGGTTGGTCTGCTTATAAATCATGTTATTGTTTTAGTTCAAGAAGAGGAACAGTGGCTCTTTTTATCCAGAAAAGCTTCTCTAAGAAAGAGGTCTTTAAAACATTTAGTAGATGAAGCGCATTGCCTTCAGTCAGATGCTATACACCATAATATTACAGGTCAGTATGATCGGAAGAAATGTTTCCTTGGTGTGGAAAAAAAAGACCCAGACTGACTTCTATTTTAATCTCCTTATTAAAAATTAAAGAAATAAATTTTTTGTCATGTAAGGTTCTTTTTGGTTGTGATATCATAACACACATGTGTTTGCATGGTTCTTCTAGGAATATCAGTTAATGTCCACCAGCAAGTCGTTTATTTCTCGGAAGGGACTCTCATATGGATGAAAGAGGCTGCCGACATGTCTGATGTGTCTGACCTGAGAGTTTTTTACAAAGGTTCAAGATTAATTTCTTCCATCTCTGTAGACTGGCTTTATCAGAGAATGTATTTCATCATGGATGAACTGGTTAGTTGAGGATTTAAAGTGAATAATTAGATATCGACACTCACATGCATATCTTGATATATCTATAGGTAAACCTAATTCTTTCACTCAGTAAACAGTGAGTATTTACTAAGTTTAAGACACTAGGTTAGCACTGAGTCATAGATCTGGTCTTTAGGAAGGGCTGGACTTTACCTAAGACAGTCCTGACCTACTGTTAAATCATCTTTATTTGTGATTTTTCAAAGCCATGGGTTTATTATATTAATGATAATTCATTTTTCATAAGAGAGTGGTGGTGTCTGTGCTATCACTAGCTGATTAAAATCAGCTGTAAGCATTTTAAATTATATAATAACCAAGGGTAACTTTAGTAGTCTCTGAAAATACAGTATTATTGAAATCTTTGAGAAAACAGTCCTGCTGTGTTTCAACTTTCTTTCTTTCAAAACGACAAGCTTATTACAATCACCATGGCTGGAAGCCCATAAACTTGGATACAGCTTACATTTAAAAAATAGTTGAAGGGTGGGCCAGCTCAGTTGGTAGAGCATATGACTCTTGATCTCAGGGTTTTAAGTTCGGGCCCCATGTTGGGTGTAGAAATTACTTTAAAAAAAAAAGTAAAAAAATCTTAAAAAAAAAAATTGATTAGTTCCACAAGCCAGGAAAATAGGTATTTGTATTTCATTGATGTAAACAAGATGCACATTCATTAGGATATGGGATATAAAACTGACTTTTACGAGTTTTGTGGGATTTTTTTATACTTTGAAAAGTGGTCAGTGACTAGCACAATTCTAAGCACAGAACAGATGCTCAGGAAATACTTATTTTTAGAGAGGGGGTGGGGGTGGGGGATGCATTAAAAAATAAAAAAAGAAATACTTGTTGGTCAAACTGAATACAGACACTGATCTACGGATGCATGCTTGATTCTCTAGGTGTATGTCTGTGATTTAGGAAACTGCTCGAACATTGAGGAAATTACTCCTCCCTCAATTACCGCACCTCAGAAAATTGTGGCTGATTCGTACAATGGGTAAGTGTTAGCCTTATAACTATGAGTTCTCGTCCTTGGCAAGAATCTTTGGGAAACTTGCTTGATAGAACCAGAGGAGCCAACCTATGTATCTCATTTCAAATGTAATTAAATCTAGGCAAAGTTTACGTTCTATAGAACCACAAGGAAATTTCTTGCAAACTTGATCCATAACTTCTCAAGTTGAGTAGATTTTCCTCTCCTTCACAGTAAAATATGGGTAGGTGGGAAAGATCTCTTCTCTGGGTCTCAGGGATCTAGGTTCCAGTCCTGGAGTTGTCATTATTTTTTTTTTTTAAGATTTTATTTATTTATTTGACAGAGAGAGACATAGGGAGAGAGGGAACACAAGCAGGGGGAGTAGGAGAGGGAGAGGCAGGCTTCCCCGCAGAGCAGGGAGCCCGATGTGGGGCTCAATCCCAGGACCCTGGGATCATGACCTGAGCCGAAGGCAGACACTTAACGACTGAGCCACCCAGGCGCCCCTGGAGTTGTCATTATTTTATGGCATGACTCCGGGTCTCATTGTCTCCTCGGTGCTCCCCATGGAGTCCTTCCTGCCTGTGAGTCCTCCTTCCATTTTACTGTTTCTTTTGCTGAGCAATTCAGCATCAGTTCATTTCCCTGGTCCTGTTCTCAGACCTCTCAGAGGAAGCTGGTTACCAAGAATGCTGCTTTTGCTCATCTTTGGACATAGGTGTTGATGGTTAATAACAAGTGAAAATTTCCCATTTTAAATAACTATTCCCCCCCACCCCAAATAAAATGGACATATTTTAGCTCAGCTGTCCTGCTTAAATTGCAGTCTGACTTGGAGCAAATAACTTTGTGCCTGTGACTTTTCCTTTGTCCGTTTGCACGTGGAACATAATAAAGCTTGCCCACTTGCGTTATTTTGAGGATGAAATGAAGTATTCCCTGTGAATATATTGTGTGATCTCCAAATATACATAAATGTGAAGGATGAAAACACAGAAAATTATTTTGGCTATTATTTCTTAAATGTGACCAGAGAATAATAACTAATAAGCAAGGCCAAGTTTATAAGATGAAGCTTTTTTCTTTCCTGTCAGAATAAAATTGTTTTCCAAACGAATTATTTACTTCAATGACACCGCTCATGTCTTCATGTCAACATTTCTGGACGGCTCTGCTTCCCATCTTGTCCTAGCTCATGTCTCCTTGATAGCGAGAGCAGGAACACAAGCAGCGGGAGTGGGAGAGGGAGAAGCAGGCTCCCTGCTGAGCAGGGAGCCCGACGCAGAGCTCAATCCCAAGACCCTGGGATCATGACCTGAGCTGAAGGCAGACGCTTAACTGACTGAACCTCCCAGGTGCCCCGATGAATTGATATAAAAAAAAAAAGGTTGCTCATTATTGATCTGAAATCAAGTTTTCTATTCACATTCATTCATAATTTACTAGGTACTTATTTTGTCTTACTTTGTCTTATTTTGTCTTGATACTTAAGTTTGCATGAATCACTGATTCAAGAATATGTTTTACAAACACTGTGTTGTAGGGTGAGTCCTTTGGACTCCATGGATCTTATTTTTCTCATTTGTAAAAGTGTAAGATCCTATGAGATGGAACTTTGCTGCTGGCATTTACCCAAAATGACTCATTTTATAAACAAACTTCACCCACTAAATAAATAATAGTAAATATATTTATAATATTATATATAATAACTATAACAAGGATAATAAACTTCACCCACTCAGTCACTCAGAATGCATCTCAGTGAGGTCTCTGGTGGCTCTTTTTTCCATCAGATAAAATTGATTTGTGCTTAGATTTTGAAATGTGACTAGAAATGATAATGATAATATTAATTGGTGCCTCTAAGTGTATTACTTCCAAAAATTCATTTAATTCTTGTTCAACTGTATGAAGTAGGTACTTTTATTATCTAAGTTTTATGGATCGGAAAGTAAAGCACAGCTTAGTGATTGCCCAAGATCACGCAGCTCTTTTGCTGTGAAGCCAGTATTCGACTTCTAGGGCCTGTCTTCTAATCATCTCCTCCTACACTAATAGCGTTTCTGTAAAAATCAGCATATACCTTCTTGCCATTTGCAACGACGTGGATGGAACTGGAGGGTATTATGCTGAGCGAAATAAGTCAATCAGAGAAAGACATGTATCATATGATCTCACTGATATGAGGAATTCTTAATCTCAGGAAACAAATTGAGGGTTGCTGGAGTGGTGGGGGCTGGGAGGGATGGGGTGGCTGGGTGATAGACATTGGGGAGGGTATGCGCTATGATGAGTGCTGTGAATTGTGTAAGACTGGTGAATCACAGATCTGTACCTCTGAAACATTATATGTTAAAAAAAAGAAGATGATAATAGGAAGGGAAAAATGAAGGGGGGGAAATCGGAGGGGGAGATGATCCATGAGAGACTATGGACTCTGAGAAACAAGCTGAGGGTTCTAGAGGGGAGGGGGTGGGGGGATGGGTTAGCCTGGTGATGGGTATTAAAGAGGGCACGTTCTGCGTGGAGCACTGGGTGTTATACGCAAACACTGAATCATGGAACACTACATCAAAAACTAATGATGTAATGTATGGTGATTAACATAACATAATTAAAAAAAACAGCATATACCTTTTAGCAGCACTTTGTATATAGTGTCCCTAAGGAACGCCAGATGTGTGAATCACTTATTCTACTGGTATTAGATGTGGTTTCCTCTCTGCTGTTATTTTGCACCGTTGAATTATTCACTCACTGAGTTTGTACTTACTCTGAACCTTCCCTTCTTCCCCTACCCTGCTTCTTCTCCTACTCACTTCTGCTCTCTTTCCTCCACAGCCCAGCTCTGTGCACCTTCCCTCTCCTTTCTTTCTGCTCCAAAGTGGCAACGAGGGTTAAAAACCTGTCCTCTCTCTGCTGCAG